TGGGAATGGCATCTTTTCCTTGATTTTTTTTTTTTTTTGTGTGTGTGTCAGTACTGGAGTTTGAACCCAGGACCTCACAATGGCTAGGCAGGCGCTCTACCACTTGAGCCACACCGCCAGCCTGGAATGATGTCTTTTGCTCAGTGTTCTAGCCCTTGTGTTTAGTACAGTCTGGCAAGTGGGAATCAATACATGTATGTTGAGTGAATAACTGAATGAGTGAATGAATGCCTTTTGAATGAATGCTAAAGATTCTGAGAGCTGGAGATATAGCTCGGTGGTAGGGCATGAGGCTCTGGGTTTAAAACCAGCAATGGCAAAAAAATTCCAATGAAAGCAAATTTTGTTTGTTCTTTCAGACAGATTCTTACTATGTGGCTAGCTCAGGCTGGCCTCAAACTCAGGACCACCTGCCTTGGCCTCTCAAGTGCTGGGATTACAGGAGTGCATCCCCTGCCCAGTGAAAGCAAACTTATTTGGAGCCTGGTACCTGTGAGGCAAGCACTTTATCACCGAGCTACCTCTCCAGCCCTTGGGATGACTTGGGAGGGATGTGGATTAAACTCAGGGCCTGAGTCACCACTTGGGCCTCACCCCCACCCTTTTGCTTTGGTTATTTTGAGCTGGGTCTCACTTTTAGGCCTGGCCAGCCTGGACCACGGTTCTCTTATCTACTCTTCCCCTACAGCTGGGATGACGGGAATGTGCCACCATGCCCAGCTTTTTCCGTTGAGATGGGGGTCTTGCTAACTGTGCCTGGGCTGGCTTTGAACCACTATCTACCCAATCTCTGCCTTCTGTGAGTAGCTAGGATTATAGGCGTGAGCCATCATGCTTGACTATAGTGAATATTTTTGAATGCTTCCCTTTCCCTTCCTTCCTTCATCCCTCCCTCTCTCTCTCCCTCCCTCTCTCTGTCTCTCCTCTCTCTCTCTCTCTCTCTCTTTCTCTCTAGTTTTTATTTTTTTACAGCCTTGCTATGTTGTTCAGGCTGGTTTTGAACTCCTGGGCTCAGATTCCTGAGTAGCCGGGACTACAGGTGCACACAACCACACCTGGCAATAGTGGTAAATATTTTGAGAATAGATTTGAAAATCTGTAGTGTTCAAAAGTTACTTGGAATTGGACCTGGTAAAATGCTTACATAGCGTGCACAAGGCCTTGGGTTCAATTCCTAGCACTGCAAAAATGCAAAGCCAAAACAAATCATGTTAGTAGGAATTAAATTCAGTGGGAATCACTTTGGTTGAGATCAAAATGTGATCATGGACTAATCAGAGAGCTTCTCCCACGTGGCTCTCAGGAATTTAGGGTTGGGTTGTTTTCGTGGGCTAGATCTTAAATGTCCCCGAGGGGCAGTACCTGGAGGCTTGGTCCCCGCTGATGGGGTCACTGGGAGGTGGGGAACCCTTAGGAGGTGGGTCTAGTGGAGGGAAGTAAGACCATGGGCCCCTGCTTCCTCCTCTCTGTGTCACTGTGAGGTGACAGTCTTCCCTCACCGTGTGTTCCTGCTGCTGTGATGTACTGTGCCACCACAGGCCCAAAGCAAGAGGGCCAAGTGACCTCAGACTGAAGCCTCTGGAACGGTGACCAGAGCAAGACTTTCTTCCTTATAACACAATTCTCTCAGGTATTTTGACATAGCGCCTGGAAGCTGACTAACACGGTCATGTGATGAGTTTCTTTTCTCTGTGGTCGTGTGCTGGGGTTTGAACTGAGGGCTTTGCACTGCTACGCAGGTGCTCTACCACCTAAGCCACGCCTCCGTCCCTCTCGTGCTGGTTATTTTGGAGGTAGGGGCTCCCTTTTTGCCTTGGTCAGCCTGGACCACCTATTCTGTATGTCCTGCTGTTGCTGGGACGACAGGAGTGCACCACTGTGTCCAGCTATTGCTGAGATGGAGTCTTGTGACCTTCCTGCCTGGGCTGGCTTGAAACTGTGATCCTTCCAGTCTCAGCCTCCCAAGTAGCTGGGATTACAGGCATGAGCCACTGTGCCTGGTGTGACACATTGAGAGGTCTCTGGCATTTCACTTGGTACAACAGAGGCTTCAAAGTAGCTAGGACGCCCGAGCTCTGCCTCCCCCGTCCCTCTAAATGCAAGGAGGTGGCTCGAGGCTTCACGGCAGGACAAAGCAGCTAAACCTGCGTCTGGCTTTTGAGTCACTGTTCTCGTGTCACACCCACCCCTGACAGAAGAGCAAGTTTAGTGACTCACAGTGTTTAAAACCTGAAGGTCATGGCTCGGAAGTGAAAAGCTGCAGCGTGAGCCCTTGCCGCCAGCATCCTGTTATAGTTACTGGCGTCTCGCAAAGGTGATCTGCATCGGCGCGCCATGCTAATGAACAAGGAATTGGAGACAGTGGCCCGATCACGGTTAACGACACTGCCTGTGACATGAGTCATCGTGTCACCACCATCCCCTGGCTTAGGTCAGGGCGCTCAGGCATTCAGTGAGGCTCCCCCTTAGCGTCTGTGTCACAGGCTGGGACGATATGCTAATGTCATCCCATGCACGGGTCTGAGATGTTTTAAAAATTATTCTTCACTTAAGGCAGCAGATGAGGGCTGGAGGGAAGTGCAAGAGGCCCTGAGTTCAAATCCTGGTACTGCTAAAGAGAAAGAAAAGACAGCAGATTTATTATACAGGTGTTACACGGAATGATCAAGGTGGTGTCACCCGTCAGCTGGCAATGGCGGTTCTAGGTCGACCGAGACAAATTCTAGAGTTCTAGTCCGCAGCACGCAGTGCAACGACTATCCTCCCCTCCCCCACTGCATCCCTCATCTCTGCTCCCCGGCTCTGCCTCTCCTGGACCCCTGGCTCATCTTTCTTTGTTGCACTGCACCCTGGGCGATCGGATCGCGTCTTCCTCCACGTGGCTCCCCTGGTGCAGAGTTTCTAAGATGGCAGAAGGCAGAGAGAGCCTTTTGACTGTTTTACTGAATAGCGAGCTTTTATGTCACTAAAAATTGTGAACCCAACAAGAAAGGAGAAACTCTAAAAGTGCTTCTCAGTGCCACTGCCCTGAGTTCATGCCACACGCTCTTGGCTGTGGGTGCATAGCTTGATCTGATCCCCAGTCTCCCTACCCAGGAAAGGGAGCTCGTAGACTGTGTCAAGGCCTAGGCCTAGTCTTCTTGGTTGAAGGGTCACAACATGTCTGACCTTGTCCAACTACTGATGTGACAGTGGTTATGAGAGGCGTCCTTGTCTCTTGTGCCCTGCTTTCCATATGAAGGCATATCCCCTCTGCTCTCGCCCATGGTGTTTAGGGAGACAGACGGTCCCTCTGACTGAGGGGACAGGCTGTGACTTAGCTCAGACTGCTGGAACTGGTTGTGGTTGCCATGTGACCGAGCTGTATTTGGGGCTACAAAGGTGGGAGGATGTGTGTGGAGCTTCAGCCAACACAGACGAGAGTGGGGCTGGGGTCAGGATTCCTGGGGGGGAGGTATCGGGTGGGGGACCCTGCTCAGACTCCTGGATCCTGCCAGGCTTCTTTTATAGACTGCCACTTTCATTTTCACTTCCTTTGCTTTCCCCCTCCCTCCCTCTCTTCCTCTCTTACTCCTTTCCTCCCTCTCTCTCTCCTTCCCTTCCCCTTCTTCCTTCCTCCCTTCCACCTTCCTCTCTCTCTTTCTTCCTCCCTCCCTCCCTCTCTCTTCCTTCCTTCCTCTCTTTCTCCCTTCCTCCCCCCACCCTTTTTTTTTTTTTGCAGTACTGGGGTTTGAACTCAGGGCCTACACATTGAACCACTCCACCAGCCTTGTAAAGGGTTTTTTCCCTGAGATAAGATCTTCTGGAACTATTTGCCTGGGCTGGCTTAAAACTGAGGTCCTCCGGATCTAGTCCTCTTAGTAGCTCGGATTACAGGTAGGATTACAGGCGTGAGCCACTGGTGCCCTGGCTCCTTCCTTCCTTCTCCTTTCCCCTCTTCCTTCCCTCCTAACTTCCCCCTCCCTCCCTCCCCTCCCTCTCTCTTGGTGGTGCTGGGAATGGAACCCAGGCCTTGCACACATTGGGCAAGCTTCATGTTCTTAAGTAACTTAATTTTGTTCACAAGAACTGCGGCTGGTAGTCCAATAAGTCATAGGAACTTATTTCACACATTCATTTATTTATTTTTGGCAGTCCTGGGGATTGAACCCAGGGCCTTCCCATGCTAGGCAAATGCTCTTCCAGTGAGCCACACCCCCGCCATATGTTTAAAACCATATGTTTAACCTTTTGAGTGTATAACTCTTTTCCTCCAAATAATTCACAGATGCTCATAGGCTTGTAAAATGGCAGATAGGGTGACTGTGACAAAACTGGGAGCAGAAGCCAGGTTTGCGGCCTCCTGAGCCAGGCCCTCAGCACCTCTGTCTCTCCTTGCTCATCTGCCTCAGTCTTTCCCAAGCGTGGCCAGAGCCATCTGCTCCTTTTCTCCCCCGAAAGCCCCACTACCAGCCGTGGGGGGGCCTCATGGGGACAGAAGGCGTCATATTCCACGTGTGGTCTGTGTCCCACAACCCTCTACTGAGGGAGGACAGCCTCGTTTCAAGAGAACTTCACTCCTGGGTCTTGATGGAGCCCAGCTGAGAGGCTGGGGGCTGAGCACAGACACAGCGCTCTGCTCCACCCCAGCCCACCTGCAAAGGTGGCTCAGCTCTCTTACGCTCACCCCCACGAGAAGAGGGCAGAGCGCCCCCAGATCAAATCCTTACATTCCATCCTCTGCTTTTGTGCGGGACTGGGGTTTGAACTCAGGCCTACACCTGGAACCACTCTACCAGCTCTATTTTTGTGAAGGTTTTTTTCAAGATGGGGTCTTGCTAACTATTTGCCCAGAGCTGGCTTTGAACCATGAGCCTCCTGATCTCTGTCTCCTGAGTCGCTGGGATTACAGGCGTGAGCTACCAGCACCCAGTGTAAAGCAAGTGCTCTAGGAGAAGGGAACCCAGAAGCTTCAGCCCCCGCTCTGTCTGCCCCTCCTCTCCCACACTGGTGGCACTCACCCTCTGGGTGATGGGCTTGTCATCCTGGATGTGCACTGCCAGCCCCAGGTCGGACAGCCTGCAGCTGCCCCCATCATCCAGGAGCACATCCTTGGGCTTGAGGTCCCGGTAGAGGATACCCAGACTGTGGAGGTGCAGCAGGCCGCAGGCCATCTGCGCCGCGTAGAAGACCACCCGGCTGGGGGACAGTCCCCGCTCGCCCACACAGTAGATGTGGAACTTGAGGTCACCCCCGGCCATCAGGCTCATGACCAGGCAGAAGTGGCTCCTGGTCTGGAAGGCACAGGCCAGGGAGACGATGAAGGGGCTGCTGACCCGCTCCAAGACCTCCTTTTCCAGCAGGGCCATCTTCTCCCCGCCCCTCTTCTTCAGACGCTTCTTGTCCAGCTTCTTACAGGCGTACATCTTCCCCGTGTTTTTCCCCTGGACGGCACACACCTGAGGGAGGGACAAAGAGGTCAATGGAGAGAGGGTGACAGATGGGTGTGCAGGTCAGTGAAGGAGGCAGGCTTTGAGGAAAGGGAAGTTGTAAGAAGGAAGGGCTCTCAAGACAGTGGCATGCCTGTAATCCTAGCTATTTGGGAGGCTGCAATCAGGAGGATCGAGGATCGAGGCCAACACTGGGTAAATAGTTCCCAAGACCCCATCTCCAAAATGACCAGAGCAAAATGGGCTGGAGGTGTGGCTCAAGCGGTAGAGCACCTGCTTTGCTACACCAAATCCCCACACACATGACCCCAAAGTTCCACTCCTAGGCTTAGACTCAGAAGAAATGAAAATGAGTGTTCGAGCAAATATCTGTCCCTGAATGTCAGAGCAGCCCTACACGACAGCCAAAAGGTGGAGCCGCTCAGGTGTGCACAACAGATGACAGGTACACGGCACATGGCACATCCACAGGACGTCCATACTGGGCTTGGGATCTGAAGTGTCCCCTGAAGGCCCATGTGTTAAAGGCTTGGTGGCCAGCGGGTGGGCTTCAGGGAAGAGGTTGGACCCGTCCCTTGATGGACTCTGGACTCATAATTTGATGGCATTGGTGGCAGGTGGGGCCTGGTTGGAGGGAGGTCACTGGGGCATGACCTTGAAGGTCATGTCCTGTCCCAGCATTCTTCCTTCTGTCTCTGTCTGCTTCCCCACCACCATAGCAGCTGACTGACTAACAGTTTCACTGATGTGAAACTAACAGAACCCAGAATAACAGATCTTTGAAGGCAGAAAGCAGACTAGTGATTGCCAGAGGTGTATGTGTGTGTGGGGTGAAGCAGGAGTGGGGAGCCACTGCTGATGGATACCTGTGATGGAGGGCTGGATGTGTGGCTAGCATCTGCCTAGCAAGCACGAAGCCCTGAGTTCAAATCCAAATACCTCGAAGAGAAAAAAAAAGGATCTATGAAAATCTTTGGACCAGAGAGAGGTGAAGGTTACACACACTGAATATGCTAAAGAATTGTACACTTGCTGGGCACAGGTGACTCATGCTGTAATCCTAGCTATTCAGGAGGCAGAGATCAGGAAGATTGAGGTTCAAAGCCAGTCCAGACAAATAGTTTGTGAGACCCTGTCTTGAAAACACCCATCACAAAAAAAGGGCTCGTGGAGTGGCTCAAGGTGTAGGCCCTGAGTTCAAACACCAATACTGAAAAAAAAAAAAAAAAAGAATTGTACCCTTTAGGGAGAATGTGATCTAAGTACTGTAAACCTGTCTATGAAAATAGAATAATGAAACCAGTTTTAAAGGGGGCTGGGCACGGTGACTCATGCCTGTAATCCTAGCCACTTGAGAGGTGAACATCAGGAGGACTGCAGTTAGAGCTCACCCTGGGCAAAACGTCATTGAGACCCCATCTCAGCCACTAGCTGCGCACAGTGGTGCATGCCTGTCATCACAGCTATGTAGAGAAGGACAGCCTGGGCCAAAAGACTAAAGCAAAAAGGACTGGGGCATGGCTCAAGTGGGCAGAGCACCTGCCTAGGAAGTGTGAAATCCTGAGTTCAAATCCCTGTACTGCCAAAAGAGAAGAGATAAAAGGCAAAAGAATCCCTTTTGTGCCCCACACTTCACTCTGTAGCATGGGACTCAGAGACACCTACCTCCCCAAAACCACCTCTCCCTAGCAGGCGGAACTCAGTGAAGTCCTTGTCGCACACCGGCTGCCTCTCCAAGAGCTTCCCCTGCAGAGACTTGTCATAGAAGGGGCTGGCCAGGAAGTCCCGTAAGGGCTGATCCTGCAAGAAGGCTGTGGCCTCTGCCTTGGCCAGCACCACTAAGGCTGCTAGCTCTTCCTCGGTGGTGGCTGCTTGGCACCTGGTGGCCAGAGCAGGGCTGGGGAAGGGGTGTGAGGACACGGGAACCAGCAGTGCCTGCAGGGCGAGGCCATGGCCTGACCCCGGATCGGCCAACTCCCAGCTGCACACCTCTTCCAGGAAGTCCGCGGCCACTTGGTAGCTGGGAACAGTGGCCAGGAAGTCCCTGAAGAGGCGGCGGCCAATGGGCTGCTGCTGGCACAGGCTGTGGAAGTCTGGTGTCAGCTCTCTGTGCAGCTCTGCACAGTCCTGTGGCCCAGGCAGTACCAGGCTCTGGTGTTGCCTGCGCAGCTCCCGGCTGTCACCATCCCGGGCCTGCAGGTAGGTCATGTTGGCAATCAGGTTATCCAGAGCTCCCATGTCCACCATGGCTGGGCCCAGGGGAAGTCAAGAGCTGTGCAGGGATGGAGGGGCCTGGTAGCCAGCTGGTCACGTTGCTTCCCGGGGATTTGCAGCCAGGGTACTGGTCTGCGAGGGACTGTGGAGGGCACAGAAAGAGGTTCCCCATAAGAAGCTTTGGCTGGCTATGTATGGCCATCAGGGACTGGCACTTGACAGGTCATGCTCCCATCCACAAGGTCAAAGCCGCCTGCCATCCCTGCCAGGCCCACCTGCCTCCTCCCGCCTCCACTGGCCCCATTCTTCCTGGGGTCTTTCTTTCTCCACACACCCTGGGCCCTAAATAGTCACCTACCAGCTATCAAAGGAAGGGACAAAGAAGAAACTGGTGTCTTGTCCACTGCTGACGTTAACAGTATTGAAAACTATTTCTAATGTCACCTGTCTCCTTCCAGGCTCGGGAAGTAAACTCCTGGGATCACGCTGGACAGACAACTCTCTTTCTGGTGCCCAGAGCAGGGGACACGAAGGGGTGCCCTGAAATTTGAATCCTGAGTCTCAAAGTCCTGGCCCCTGGGGTACACTGTTCCCCCTGGCCTTTGAGGTACACTGTTCCCCCTGGCCTTTGGGGTACACTGTTCCCCCTGGCCTTTGGGGCACACTGTGCCCCCTGGCCTTTGGGGTACATCATGCCCCCCACCCCGGCCACACCAGACTCATCCTGAGCTATGGCTTCTTTAGCTTTGAGAAGCTGGTGACATTATGTACTTTGGACTAAAAAAGGGACAAGGTCATCTTGACCCCAAAATACCATGAGGCAGAAAAGGCCATGAGAGGAGTCTGCTGGGAGCGTGGCCTCAGAAGGACGCTAGAATCCCATGACCTCAAAGACAGAAAGCACACCCTCCATAGCATGTGGCCCTGACTGTTCCAGGTCGCATCTAACAAGTGGACTCTGGACGTCCAGGAGTCTTTGGGGGCAGGGGACCCATCCCCATCTCGGTCTCTGGAAGCAAGGAAGCTTCCCTTGGTGGAGGCCACTCAGACCCGCGCTGTCACAGACTGCGAGCTCCCCAGGAAGAGCGATTGATTTAGACAGAGATCAGGCTAAGAGCCTGCGCTCCAAAAATAACATCTCGTGTCCTCCAGGGGAGGACTCCGCAAGCTTGTGCTTCACAAAGCAAGGCTCAGGCAGCTTAAAACACAGTCATTCAGTATTGAGAGAGAGAGAGAGAGAGAGAGAGAGAGAGAGAGAGAGAGGAGGCGGGGGGGATGAGTCAGTCTTTTTCCAAACAAACAACCTCTCTAGCACACTATCAAAACATCGCCATGACCACCTCGTCGCCTGTCAGCCTCTGATCGTCCCCATAGCAGATCCACACTTGGCCTCACGCTCCAAGAATTATGTAATGAACTCGTGGGTGTCCTGTGGCTCTGCCCCGCTGAGCTAGAAACCATCACCTCTGTCATAGAGATGGACGATGGGCAGAAGTGACGGGCACTGCCCAGAACCACGCCATCTACTGTGAAACTCACAGGGCAGGATTGCTGCTTTCTCATCCTCTACGTTATTCAGATCCTCCCTCCCTCCCTCCTCCCTCCCTCCCTCCTTCCTCCCTCCTCTCCCTCCTTCCCTCCCTCCTCTCCCTCCTCCCTCCCTCCTCTCCCTCCTTCCTTCTCTCCCTCCCTCCCTCCCTCCTTCCCTCCCTCCTCTCCCTCCTCCCTCCCTCCTTCCCTCTTTCCTTCCTCCCTTCTTCCTTCCTTCTCTCCCTCCTCCCTCCCTCCCTCTTTCCTTCTCTCCCTCCCTCCCTTTTTTTGGCAACACTGGGGTTTGAACTCAGGACCTTGTGCTTGCTAGGCAGGAGCTCTACCTCTTGAGCCACTCTGCCAGTCCCCAGGTCTACATTTCTGAGTAGTGAGAAATCAGCGTGAGAATTTCTTTTGATGAGGCAATGTCTTTCCCTGTGCAGGGTGACAGGGCAGCCCCCAGTAGAACTGTCACCACATAGACATTTGCCCTTGGCAATGGAGAAATGCTTCCACTGGTGCACGTGGATGTGTTGAACTGCTCGATTCCACTAAGCTAACACTTTTTATAATCACTTAACCTAGCACTGCCCAATTGAATCATGGGGAGCCACAAATGTACTTGCAAAATTCCTAGTAGCCAGCCACATTAAAATGATAAACAGAGGCAGGTGACATTAACTTGAAATAATTATAACTAAAGTTAGTCCAATATATCTAACATATGTCACGTCAACGCATGGCTGAGTCTGCCTCAGTCACGGGGTTATTTTGTCCTCCTTGGGTCTTGAGTCTTTATGTCCTAGTTTGGACATCATCCAGCTACGAATGGCAACACATCTCAAGTGGAACTAGCTAAGCAGGTGACTGAGCTTTAGTTATGTAGCTTTGCCATTCACAGAAAAGAGGAAGTTTTCTTATTACTGCTTTTTCTCTAATCATTAATACCATTGGCCATCTCAGATTTAAAAAAAAAAAGAAGAACTTACTCTATTATCAGTTGAAAATTATTTTGGCCAGGGGCAGGTGGCTTACGCCTGTAATCTTAGCTACTCGGGAGGCTGAGATCCAGAGGATCATGGTTTGAGGCCAGTCTGGGCAAAAAGTCTGTCCAGCTCAACCAAAGGCTGAGGGTGGTGACAGGTGCTGTCACCCCAGCAATGGGAAGCATAAAATGGTAGGGTCATGGGCCAGGCTGGCCTGGGTGTAAGGCGAGACCCTGTCTCAAAAATAACCAAAGCAAAAAGGGCTGTGCGGGCCTGACTCAAGTGACCTAACAAACGACCTAACCCATGCCTAAAAAGCCGAAAGCCCTGAGTTCAAACCCCAGCATCACAAAAAACAAAAAGAAGAAAAATTAACCAATGGGAACAGAATTTAAATAACATTTGACACAAAATTTAGAAGTTCTGAGATGACAATATGGGTGCTATTTGTAAAGCTTGACTCACCTGATAATAGAGACAAATTTATTTAAAATGGAACAGTTAGAGCCAAGCGGCTCACACCTGTAACCCTAGCTGCTCAGGAGACAGAGATTGGGAAGATCAAAGTTCAACACCAGCCTGGGAAAATAGTTCATGAAACCCTATCTCAAAAAAGGGCTGGTGGAGTGGCTCAGGGTGTATGTCCTGAGTTCAAACCCCAGTGCCACCAAAAAAATATATAAATAAGTAAAATGGAACAGTTTGGGCTGACAGAGTGGCTTAGGTGGCAGAGCACTTTCCTAGCAAGTGCAAAGCCTTGAGTTCAAATCCCAGTACCACCAAAAAACGCATGGAATAATTTTTGTGATCACTAACATAGGATCCAGAACTTTCCCCAACTCAATGAAATAATAATTGTATTTCCAATTACAAAAAGGCACTAAATCCTTACCCTAGAAACAAATCCAAGGACAGAATCTCCCAAGTGGAAAGGGTACTAAAAATCTTGGCCTGTGGCCCAATAGTTCTGAGTGTGAGTCTAGCACTGTTGGAAAATCTGAATTCTGTCTCCAGCAAGTCTTACCTCTGAGATCTTCAGCAAGTTACTTAACTTCTCTGAGCTTCGGTTCTCACTATCTGTCTAATAGAGAAAATGTTGAATTTTTTTTTTTTGCGTACTCTTGAGAGGATGAAATGCCAAATAGTGTCTGGCACAAAGAATTGATCCAAAAGTCCTAGCTTTTAAATGATGACTATTGATTGTCAAAATCCTGGTCCAAAAGTGTGCAGATTGGAAAGAGTGCCCCAGAGCCATGGTGGGAGCTACAGTGAATAGATCTGTGTCTCCCCACCCTCCCAACTATGTTCGAGTCTTTTTTATTTTTTTTGCGGTTTGGGATTTGAACTCAGGGCCTTGAACTCGATAGGTAAATAGTTCAGGAATCCCCATCTCCAAAATAACCAGTGCAAATGGACTGGAGATGGGTCTTGAGCAGTAGGACGCCTGCTTTGCAAGTTTGAGTTCAAACCTTAGTCCCACCCTAAAAAAAAAGCCAAAACAAAAAAACGGAGCATCAAGTTGAGATCCCTTCCAGCTGATAGTGAAACAATGACTCTGCATCTGAAGAAAAATCCTTTGGGAGGCCTGACCTTCTTGCAAGAGCAGATGGTGAGAAATTTTGCGTTTTTGAGGCTATTAACATGGAAGCTTCGCTTTAATGGGGGCAAAAGAATCTGTTGGCCTGCGTCCGGTTTCTTCTTTCTATCATAAATTCCGATCCTAAGGAGGATGAAGGAGAAGGGTCGAGGGGGGAATTCATGTTTGATGTATTTGATGCATTGTAAGAACCTGTGTAAATGACACTATGTACCCCACCCAGCACAACAATTAAAAAAAATTTCTGATCCTAAATGTCAAACCCTAGGGTCTATCTACAGTCAGGCATAACATAAGCCAAGGAAGGCTCAGATGGGTTTGATGACCGCACACCGCATCACCACAGAGGGTGTGCTTAACCATGGGCTCACAACTGAGAAGCAAATTTGAAGGAGATTCAAGATACTTCTTGATAGAAGTTCACCTTGGAAATGAGTCTGAGGGGATATACAAAAGGAAATGAACTAAATATGCTCACACAGTGAGTTTTTCAAATCCTACCAAGCAGCCGTCTGCAAAGTAAGAGGTTTTTATTAAAGGAGACCAAACAATATAATATTAGCTAACAAAAAGCAAAGATAAATTCCAAGAAACATATACTTGATTTGTGGGAAAGATGTGGAAATTACCCAGAAAAAATGTCTTGTGGTTATAACAAAGAATTCAACAAGGGAATAGAAGTCTAAAAATTTTAGTAGGACATAAAACATTTTGTATTCTGGAAGGGAGAAGTATTAAGAGTTTGCTCGAAATGTCAGCAACTCTGCTTGTAATGCTTTTCTCTACATTCAATGGAAAACTAAAATATTGAGAGTTTAGAGAATGAATTATAAGGGAAAAAATGAACAGATTAAGCCCACAGAGCCCACCTAAATGTTCATTAGTGGGGTTTGGGGAAGAGTTTTGTTCAGAAAATAATT